GTATTTATGTTTATCACATCGCCTGTGTCTGTTTGTTTGTTTGTGTGCATGTCAATGCATGTGGATGTAAATATTTGTGTGGGTGTGTGTATGTGTGTGTGTGTGCGTGTGTGTGTGTCTATGTTGTGTAAAACGAAGAAAATAAAAAACAATCTAGGCATAAGGAATAAGAACCTTCTCCGTGTAAGTGCTTCCCGATCCAAGTGTACCTCAATCTTACTCATTGTGGTACCTGAATTCAACGAAACCCAGATTCGAACTGCTTTTTAGCCGGTAGATTTTTAGCAAATTTCGAGGGCTCTTGAGTGAATCCCGCATATCTAGGATTCGAAATGAGTATTAGTCGGTTGAATTTATTTTCATTTTTCCTGATCCAGAGGCGCGGCTTTTTGATCTAAGAGTGCAGTAAAGTGTGCTCCAACAGCTGGTTTTTCGCCACAGCTTTTGATAGTTATTGGATGCCATGCTGTTCATGAAAACAGCTTTTACACTGATCTGTTTCAGCAGATGACACCGATTACACTGGCTACGACGCGTTTCTTCCTGTGCCACAACAGGTTGTTGTTCATCTTTTGCTTGTAGTGTACTCAGATCTATAGTAATCTTCACATAAGTCAAGGAATTTCCCGAGGAAAGGTTCTCGTGGCGAATTGACCTGAGCTGAGCTTTTAGTCTTCAGCAAAATACACTTTCCGGGGCCACTGGCGAAAAGGAAAGACACATATTTGACTCAGCGTTTTTTTATTTTTGCCTGGAATCTGGTGAAGTGCAGGGGTTCAATCGGACAACCAGTCCTTCTACGACTCGTTTATTCGCTTCGAAAGTAAATTCGAAAGTAAATTGGTAACGGTACATTCCAGGAAGTCAAACCTGCCATTAGCTTGTTTGTAAGCTACTCTCTAAAGGAGGAACCATCAGCAGACTTGCCGGAGGGTGGTTACTGTTAGCACGAGGCACTAGTCGGGCCACTTTTAAGCGCCTGCGTCTTTCGTAGAAAGCGAATTGAAGAATGATTGTTCCTCAACCTCCTGCATTTTTACCGCACTTTGAAAACTCAAGTTGATATTCAGCTTTTTTTTGACAATTTTATCCATCCTAATTAAACTTCGCTTTGCCTCTATTCAATTTTTCGGACTTTTCCAACCCAGAAGTAATGGAAAAGACCGCTTTCATGTGAAGAAGAAAGGAGGAAACACCACTGTGAATCTGCTAAGTAGTCCAAACGCTTGCGTGGTCAAAAAGTAA